ATATATACACTATTAAAAAAAAAAAAAAGAGTAATAATTCCAAGCAAATGTTGTTCATTTATGAATGAACATGAATTCATAAAAACTACCATTAAAAGGTTTGGGGTCAGTCATTTATTTATTTTGGAAAGAAATTCATATTTTTATTTGGCAAGAATGCATTAAAGTGATCAAAAGTGACAGTAAAGCCATTTAGAATGTTACAAAAGATTTCCGTTTCAAATAAATGCTGTTCCTTTGATATTTCCACAAAATATTAAGCTGCACAACTGTTTTCAACATTGATAATAATAAGAAGAAATGCTTCTTGAGCAGCAAATCAGCATATTAGAATGATTTGGTCGAAATGTGGTTGCTTAAGGGAGACATGACAAAGCTCTGAAGTATCAAGTCAAGTGTCTGGATTTCTGCTTTGATGAATAGATCGTAAATGTCAAGCGCTGCCTGGACTCGATTTTACACGTTTCAGACTGGAACAAATAATTGTCCATTTGAAAGAAATGATCAGTGTGGTGCCGTAGACGCTGTTAATATCCCTACAGGACATGACCCGTGCAGGCTAAAGTGCGCTCTAATTTGAGCTTTAAAAACACAGAAGCTTCTGTTTTTCCACATCAAAATGACCTAAGCGCAGGAAAATCACGATAAAAAACAGGTCCGAAGGGTGAAAAGGATATTTAAAACATAACACCCCATTTCTGCGACTAAATTAAATACACAGCAGCTGAATGGCATATGGAGCAGAGATCGAAAAAATGTGTGGAGAAGGTGATCTTTGACTAAATAAGACCTGAATTAAATTACCATCCCCGTCTATGTCATCATCACAGGCATCTCCCAGTCCGTCCTTGTCTGAGTCCCGCTGGTCCGGGTTCTCCACGTTTACGCAATTATCACAAGCATCACCATGGAGATCTTTATCACTGTTCTTCTGGTCTATGTTAGGAACCAACCAGCAGTTGTCCTGTAGGAATACAGTCATGCAAGCACTGACATTGAAGGGAGCATTTCAGTTCAAGGAAATAATGATCTAATGAGGATTAATCTGTACCTGATCATTGAAGATGCCATCACTGTCTGCATCCGCATCACAGGCATCTCCCTTCCCATCTCTGTCTGCGTCTTCTTGGCCCGAGTTTGGAACAAACATGCAGTTATCCTGAAAATGAATGTAAGATAAACCAGTAACACCTTAATATTAAGTTTGGTTTGTTAACATTACTTAATACAATATCAAAACAAAAACAATATTTTTAGTATTTCTTAATCTTGATTAATGTTGTTTTATATATACACTATTAAAAAAAAAAAAAAGAGTAATAATTCCAAGCAAATGTTGTTCATTTATGAATGAACATGAATTCATAAAAACTACCATTAAAAGGTTTGGGGTCAGTCATTTATTTATTTTGGAAAGAAATTCATATTTTTATTTGGCAAGAATGCATTAAAGTGATCAAAAGTGACAGTAAAGCCATTCAGAATGTTACAAAAGATTTCCGTTTCAAATAAATGCTGTTCCTTTGATATTTCCACAAAATAGTAAGCTGCACAACTGTTTTCAACATTTATAATAATAAGAAGAAATGCTTCTTGATCATCAAATCAGCATATTAGAATGATTTCTGAAGGATCATGTGACACTGAAGACTGGAGTAATGATGCTGAAAATTCAGCTTTGGCATTACAAGAATAAAGTACATTTTAAAATAAAATAGAAAACCGTTATTTTAAATTGTAATGTTTTACAATATTACTGTTTTTACTGTATTTTGATCAAATCAACTCAACTCTGTAAACATTGATATGGCTGTGGTTTAACTGGACGTTATATTTATTGTTTTATTTGGCTCTGATTGGAAGTGTATGCATATGTATGTTTTACAGCATGTGTTGTTTTTATGTTTTATGTTAGTGATTACTTGCCAAGGGACCGCGGATGAAAATAAGCCATTGGCTAAATTCGGTACAATGCATGAAATGGAAACATTTATGTTAAAATTGTGCATGGTCCCTTTTCAAAAAATGTTGTAAAATAAATTAAATAAAATGAAATACATTTTTTTTTTAAATCTTACTGACGGCAAACTTTTGTGTGGTAGTGTATATTTGTAAATGAACCAAGAAATTGTTGTTCACTGTCAGTTCATGATATCTAATGCATTAACTATATGCTAATAAACTAAACTTCTAACAAAAATAACAGGTCACATGAATATCACCTTCTTGCAGGTTCCATCTCTGCACTGAATTTTGATATCTGGATAAGCATCAATGTCTGTGTCCTTTCCACAGACGTAGCCGTTTCCTGCCCAGCCAATTTTGCACTAAAAGCAACAAGATATTGAAAGATGTCAGCTGTGAAAGTTGCATCCTGGCTCAAAAGCATGGCATAGGAAATCACCAGCACAAACTGTGACATGATATCCCTTTATGTTTTCTTGAAATGCACAAGTAAAACAACAGTAGTAAACAAAACAACTGTGTGGATGCTTGATGTCTCACCGAACAACTGATGCTCCCATCTCTCTCCACAACACACTCTGCGTTGATGTCACATGGATTTGGCTGGCCTTTCCCACACAGCCTGTCGGTTAGAGGAGCAGGATCCAGGCCAGTACTTCTGCAGCCACTATTCTGGTCACCTGTGAATCCAGTCTTGCAGATCCCACAGTGAAACGCACCCTACAAGAAAGCAAATTTTACATATAAACTACATTTACTGTACCTTCCACTGGCCACATTAGTATAATGGGTAATCTAGGATAGTTGTAATCTTACCACTGTGTTATGGCAGTACGAATTGGGTGTGCAGCCACCATTATCCACCTGGCACTCATCAATATCATTACACATCTAATAAAAAAAGGATAAATATGGTGTTAATCACAGTATGGTAATAAAATCACGAACAATAGCATTTTTTACTATATGTGTATCATGGTAATACTATGTTCTTTTGAACATGTAATTGGAGTACCATGTAAATATCATGATATATATAACGGTAATCATTCTGTGTCATGACATATCAATCCAGATGTTAGAGAGTGCTTCAAAATGTCTTATTACAAAACATGTTCTCTCATAATATTAAATAAGGGGATCCATATACATTTATATATACCACTATTCAAACGTTTGGGGTCGGTAAGATTTTTCAATATTTCTGAAAGAAGTCTCTTATGCTCATCAATGCAGCATTTATTTGATATGAATTTCCAGCACTTTATTCCAGTTTTCAGTGTCACGTGATCCTTTAGAAATCATTCTAATACGCTGATTTCAAGAAACATTTCTTATTGTTATCATGTTGAAAACAGTTATGCTGCTTAATATTTTCATTAAAACGGTGATAGTTTTTTTTTTTCAGGATTCTTTGATGAATATGAAGTTCAACAGAACAGTATTTATTTGAGACAGAAATCTTTTCTAACATTTTAAATATGCTTACTGTCACTTTTGATCAATTTAATGCGTCCTTGCTGAATAAAAGTATCAATTCCGTTAAAAAGAAATCTTCCCGACTCCAAACTTTTGAACACACACACACACAGACAGACACACACACACACACACACACACACACAAAAACAATTATTTGCACATACTGGTTAATTTAATTTCATATAAATTCATTTAATTTTGTTAAGCATTGTCCCAAATACGTACTTGTTTGTTTGTCTGAGCATAGTGAACGCCCACACCCTGGATCTCTGGGCCAGTGAAGTCTCGTGGACACTTCTCACATCTGAACCCTGGCACAGTGTTAATACACCGTACACCAGAGAAACATGGGTTGAACTGGCACTAAAATTGAACAGTTTATAAGGTTAGCTGGATTTATGATGTTCAACAAACAATGCTCTGTAATATATTGACGATTATGTCAAACAATTACACAGCGATCTGTGAAAGGTTCTATAAAAACCACAGGAAAATTCCCTTAGAACCTTGGTAATGGTTTAAACAATAATTAGTCTAATAAACCCCCTATTGAAACATGATGATATGTTCCTAACTGAGTTTTATTATTCATCAGTTAAGTAGAACACAGTGTCACGTGTGATAAACAGTCTGAATTATAGAGATACTGCAGTGAGTAATGGAAAAAATGTGTTCTTGTCCTTTCCTAATTACTCAACAATGAGAGAAATAAGCGGATATGAACAACATAAACAGCAAAACTTGATTCAAACCACAGAAAGTCATAAACAATAGTATGGATAATAATGAACATAGCATAATAAAATATAGGTTGTTTATTTTCTGGCTAATGTTTGGGTGTATATCATTAAGATGAACAAAAAAATAAATCAAAATCAGCATCGTAAGGTCCTACCTCATCTACGTCATCACATTGGACTCCATCTCCAGCGTAGCCCTCAGGACAGGGTGCACATTCCACTCCTTCAGCTGTTTGGATACACATGTCCAGCTTAAAACAGACCCCTGGCACGCACTTGGATTGCTTTGTATCCTGTAGTCCTGCTTTGGCCCATCCTAATGCGTTTAAATGTTAAAAGAACACTTGAGTTCACCTGTCTGACACCTTCAGGATCCTCATTATAAGCTTCTACTAACTGACTTCTACTGAGCACAGACACGATTTTTACAAAAACTGCCAAATGTTTTCTCATTATAGCGGTTTCGTAACTTTTTAACTAAAGTCTTACCAGTGCACTCAACACACTCCATGATAGTCTTTCTCAGGTCAGCAGTTTCTTTGGTCTATTATGAAAACAGACTGTTATTATGCTGAAGTTCTGAAGAAGCTATAGGGATAGTTCACCCAAAAATGTAAAGTCTGTCATTGTTTATTTACTCTCATTACATTGTTAAAAACCCGAATGACTTCTGGTCACTAACTCTACAACGAATAGGGGATTTTCAGGCTACAAAAAAATAAATAAAAAAGTTATCATAAAAGTAGTCCATAGTCTTCTTTGGCTTTGTAAGGACCATATTGAAGTTTAAGTTGATAATCACTGATAATCTTCCTCCCATTATTGAACCAGTGAGTTGAAACCTGATTAATGCAGGAATCATTCAGACTGGTTCTGTCAACTGGATTAACTGATTTAGTGAACATAATCATTCGTTCCTGAAACTCAGAAGAACTCAAAAGAACTGTACTTTTTGGGTGAACTATCCCGTTAAGGAGCTGTTTTCCCCACTCGATTTCAAGTTACCTGCTGATCGACCTTCTGTTTTAACTCTTGGATCATTCGCATGAGCTCAAACATTGGGCCAGCTTCCATTTTTGAAGTTGTTCCTGCAGAAATGTAACATAATGAGATTTTTCTGCACTAGAAGAAAACAAATAACCAATCATTAACAAAACTATAGCTGAATAAGACACAGACATCAGAGAAACAACAGCCTCACCTAGTAGTTGCAGTGTTTCCCTCTGCTCGCTCTGCACTGCACTGCTGCAGTCCTGAAGCTCTACCACATTTTCAATAGACTCATCAAGCACAAGTCTGAGGTCTGACAGCTTATCCTGTAACACAGGTTCATATTCACACCCTGTTAAAAATGTTAGTAATTTTACAGAAAAACACTGTTAAAATGCTACGGTTACTTTAAAATGCCATATAATAAAAACAGTGAAAGGACATTCCCAGAAGTCCCTGCATGACACATCACATACAGTATGATTATATTTTGTATTTTCTATTATTGTTATCAGGGATGTACAGTACATTAGGATGTTTCGTGTAACATTTTCTGTTATTTACTGTAGTGAATGTTTATTGCATTATTTTAGTGTAAAATGTGTTACCCTGGTGGTAAATATATATATGCATGTATGTATGTATGTGTGTGTGTGTGTGTGTATATATATATATATATATATATATATATACACACACACACACACACACAAGTATTGGCCATGATTTATGAACAAACTCTGATTCATCATGTGGCTTTTTTATTGTGCCACCTGTATATTAGGGTGGTTATCGGTACATTTTAAGGTAAAAAGGCAGATTTTGGTAGTTCAGTATATAAACATTATATCACTTAATAAAATATATGCTTCTAGATATACACGTATCCTGTAAAACCTGTAGTATTTTTAATAGTGAATATCTGACAACCAGAGCTGCCAGTTTTTTTTACTGTAAATTTAAGGGGAGATTTTTTTTTTTTACAGCTTACTGTATATGCATAGATAAACTCATCAGAATAATGATATTATTTGTTCAACCTTCTAGGTTTACCTGGGATGAGGTTGGCAGGGTCTTGAGTGTGACTTGTTTTGGGCCCTGCGGCAGTGATTTGAAGGCCTGCGGCACGTCCTGCACTCTCTCCACCAGCTTGCAGTCCACATAGAGTGCCGTGGTGGGGGTGCCCTGCAGCCCGCTGAAGTGGAGCAGTATGTGGTGTTGCTGACCATCTGTCAGTGGCACTTTACCGAAATTGGTTGTTCCAATCTTTCCATTGCTTTTTAGATATTTCAAAATGACTGTGAACAGAAAAAGTATTTAGTGTACATATCAAGTATCTGTTGAGTCACTGAACGTAAAGCACATTGATGAGCTTTAATCAGACAAACCTTTGTCGAGTTTCCCCTGAACGGTGAAATCAAAATAATCTGTGTTGTCTAAAGCATTGAAGATGCGGAAGACACGTGTCGGAGCTTTGTTCTGCAGCTGCAGGCTTGCAAGGATAAAAACATTGTCCATGTTCGTTGCCTTTATTCCTCCTTGCAGAAGGTCAGGTAAGCAATCCGGTGACACCAGAAGATCATAAACTGCAAAATTTGTCAACAGATTTGCACTGGGTACTGATGGTTTTTGATGCATTTGTGTAATACATGTTACTGCACTATTCTGATGCTCTTTTGTCCAGGACACATTATAAAAAGCAACCAATGAGGTCATTGACAGATTTGTCCTCAGCCAATGGTCATTTCATAGTGTTTAATTCCACATTTGTTAATCCCACTGCATGCTGGGGGATTTCCAGATTATTTATGACATTTATGGAGTGATAAATGACCTGTCTAACACAAGAAAACAAGTTCATTTGTGCTAATATTGATATTATATTTTAGCAGAAATGGGATGGGTTGTCTTTTATTTCACATTTTAACTGAGGGAAATTAATGCATGTACACTCTTATTCATAAACAGCTTTGTAAATATACGTAAACAATGCAAATAATAAAAAATGCAAGAATCTTAACATACAAAAAAATCATTTCTTAAATATTACATTTTTAAATATATTACAAGGTTTAAGGACTTACCAATTCCTTGAGTTTTCACTGTATCAAAGAGTTGTAAAATTAACTGTAAACTGAATATGATTCTTGTCCAAGCACCCATTGTAGATTTATTTATTTCACAAATCCAGTTAAAGTGTTCCACCCTTATTCCTGGAAAAATAGTTTCTGCTCTGACCCCTGATTCAGTCTTGATCAGTGGCTGTCAAAACAGAACTGCCTGTTCCCTGTAGCCCTGCAGATGAACGAGAACCAGACTCAAGTGATTTACGCTTTTCAGATGTCTCTCTCTATATAAGGTGTGACCAAGCACCTCCTCCAGAATGCTTCTTTGCTTTTACCAGCTGCATATTGCTGTGAGCATGTCAGATCAAAACCTTCTAAAAGAGCTCTTTGTTAATGATGGTAAATGATGGGAGGATATGCTCAGTGTTGGGGAAAGTTACTTTTAAAAGTAATGCATTACAATATTGCGTTACTCCCTAAAAAAGTTACTAATTACGTTACTTAGTTACTTTTTATGGAAAGTAATGCGTTACATTACTTTTGCGTTACTTTTTAAATATGAGCAGGGCTTGATTGTTTTTAATATAAGAAGTTCTATTTATAGCAAATGTAAAAGCCCTTTCACACCAAAAAGTGTAATGAATAAACCTCAGGCTGAAGGAAAAGTAAATTCACGTCTGTACAGTAGAACGCAGGAGAAGAAGGTTCAACACTCTTCAGCAATAAAAAAACAATGAAGCACAATTGTTAGTTTATCTAAAGTCATTTTTGCTTATTAGTATGGTTGAACTGGATCATCAAAGGTCAGCAGCAAAGAATTTGGTTAATAAAATGGGATTAGATACATTTGTGTTATTTAACACATTTAATTATTGCAGGTTTGCGTCATATTCTGAGTTTGCATTTCACTGTTTTTATTCATTTTGATGAATACTAAATCTGTTTTTTGTGAGTGGGATGAATTAATGCACATTCACATTTAGTCTAGAACTACAGTAACATCATGTTCACACAGCGCACACAACTCCTCTGCACTTCCGATTTCTCCCAATATGGGGACAGGAGACTTGTCAGTCAATAAATGGGAAAACAAAGTAACTGGCCTTACTTTTTTGAAAAAGTAATTCAGATATTTTCGTGTAAATTAAAAAGTAAAGCGTTACTTTACTAGTTACTTAAAAAAAGTAATCTGATTACGTAACTCGCGTTATGTGCTTTGGTTTTTGGTCAGAACCTGCGCCAACTGGTTAAAGGTTGCAATGAATATTCTGTTTTAAATTATCTAATGAATCTAATGCTTTTGAAAGCAAACCTAAATTGAATTATTTTGTTCTTTTTTTACATTTATAATTATAATTTAAAGGGGTGCTATTATGCTTTTTCACTTTTTCAACTTTAGTTAGTCTGTATTTAAATCGCGCTCAAATTGATTTGATTTTGACGCAATATTTACAATGAAGCTTGTAGGCGGCTATGGTAAGAGGCATGACATTTCCCGAGCAGGCGCCGAGTGCTGCCAATCACAACACACACTGGCCCAGCTAACCAATCACAGCACATTTCGTATTTCAGAAGGCGGGCCTTCATTTGATACAGGAACTATTCGAGCCGTTCATGCCAGACTGGGGAGAGAGGTGTTGTAATAATGTAAAATATGTGAAAAATAATGTGTTTTTCGAACAACCTAGTATGAGAGCCTGTTCTAGTACACCCCCAAAACAAGATCAAGACTTTGTAAAAGAGCATAATAGGACCCCTTTAAACTTTACTTTAAAGTTGCTAATGAGGATTTTTACACAGAAATAATCATGGTTTAACAATCTGACTGCATTATCCAAACAATCTGCCGAAGAAAGAAAGAAAGAAAGAAAGAAAGACAGAAACAACACATTTACAGGAATGATCTGGCGTGACATGTCCCTGCTGAGTCTTGCCAGTTTGAGTGTTACGACAGAGGAGTTATGGAAAATCAATTAAACCTTCAGCTTCATATGAATGAACCACATTAACTCTTCAACTGCCTGCATATTGTATCCTGCAGACTCTCAAATAAAGCTGAAAACAGATTTAATTCATTTTTGTAAAAAAAAAACAAGTGTGCTACAAGCTAGTGTTTGGAACATAGTTGCTGGTTTAGTTTTATTTAAAGTTTGACATGACAAGGAAACAATGCAATGGTGATGAACTGTCCTTGAGTATTTTAGTAAGAGTACGTATGGTGGTTTCCTCCCGCCTCTCACTCAATGTTGGGAGAGTTGAAGTCGGAATGCCTATTATCCGACAGCATCGCTGTTGAATCCTCTCTAACTCCTCAGAGAGACCTTTAGGTAGACCACCCCATACTGGACTAGCATATTCGAGAACTGGCCGTATAAAAGTCAAATATACTTGTACCAAAACATCACAAGGAAGACCCGCTTTTTTTGCAGCGCAAAGATAGTATATTCTGGGGCGCACCTTCGAAACCATGTACTTAATGTGGGCATCCCATGACAAGTCAGAGGATATTTGAACTCCAAGCAATTTAAAGGTGGAAACTCTACTAATTGCATGTCCTGAGATAACAGGAGAGGGAGGGGAGGGAATGTTATCCTCTCTCCTGGCACTAATTACCATGTCCACAGTCTTAGCTCCATTCATTGCCAATGTAAATTCCTGTCCCCATTCCACTACAGAGTCTAAGGCCTTCTGAGTGAGTCCAGGTAAAGATCCCATTAGAAACTCTGTGATTGTTAGATCATCAGCATATTTCACAGGTATTACCGAAGGAGGCAAATATGAATCCAGGCTATTTATGCATATATGACAAAAAGCAGAGGGGATAGAAGTCCCCCTTGAGGAACACCAGCTGGAACGGGAAAGGATTCCTTCAAACACTTTTCCAACACAGCCGAGTAATGAGATCTGGCGATAATCTGCTGGAAAACGACGCTTTGACTATAGCCTCCTTCCATTGTTTTGGAAAAATTTTATGCTGGATGCATGTATTGAAGATGTCACATAACACCGGTGCCAACTCTTCATGAAAAGTCTTTAGCACCCAAGGAGGAACGCAGTCGGGACCAGCAGCCTTGGCTGCATTCACTTTACGGAGTCTAGTCTTAACTTGTCCAATACTCAGAGGAGGTACACTACAATTTGACAACTTGCAGGTAACTTCTTCCTCAGACAAAGAAATGTGGTTCGCATAATTCCACACAGAAGCAAAGTGCCTAGCCAGAGTGTCACACTCACGTTGCATGATGTTTTGATCCTGAGACACCATGTCACTCTTATCTCCTTCCATCTCCATTAAATTCTTCACTGACTTAAACCATTGTTTTGGCTTGGAGCATCGCAGTTCTTCCACCTCATGCTGGTAATATTGTTTCTTTGCGTTCTTGATTTTTTTTGGCAATGATTGATTTTAACGTCCTATAAGAGGTTTTGTCGCCAGAACAAAAAGCACACTGCCTATCTTTTATCAGATCTTTAATTTGAACAGTCATCCAAGGCTTATCTGTGTTTGTGATAGAAACTTTCTTTGATGGAACTGTTTTATCCAGGACAGATATGATAGTGGAAGTAAAGGCACCAACCTTAGCCTCAGGATCCATAGCTTCGTGAATGTGAGAAAATGTGAGAAATATGAGAAAAATCAGTAGTGTTCATAAGGAGGCCCAGTTCCCTGATTGTCTCAGGGGTACGTTTTCTGCAAAAAATATTTTTAATAGGCTTGGTGGGCCAGTTTCCTGCATTTATCAAGATAGTCTGATGATCAGAAGAGCCAACCGGAGGCAAATGCTCTGGTGTCTGATACATGGAGGAAATATTGGTAAATATAGAGTCTAGTTGACTAGCCTTTCTTGTTGCTCCAGCCACGATTTGTTTCAAACCATGTCTGCTGCAGATGGTTTCAGACTTGTACTTATTTGTATCACCAAGTATGACAATTGCAGCCTGCTGATAGCTACATTCAATATATCTGAGACAACTATCCAAATACTGTGAGATTAGTAAATCAGGTTGGGCTGATGCAGAAGAGCATGGTGGAAAATATAGCACAGCAGCAATAATACAACTTAAGACGACTGGGACGTAACCAGACCCACAAAGCTTCATGCTCGTCCTCTTCTAGATGAGTCAGTCGAATTTGTTTGATGGTGTTACAAACATACAATGCAACTCCTCCTCCCCCACCTCCCTTGCGATCCCGGCGAGGTATTGTATATCCAGCAAAAGTTACAATTGAATCTGGGATACCATCATTTAGCCAAGTCTCTGAAACGGCGACAACTGCTGAGTTATTATTCAGTGCTACACTGTGCAGCTCATCACATTTGTAGCGTAAAGAACGCACATTAGAAAGGAGAAAACCAGGCATAGATGGTATTGACTTGTGTTGGTTTATCTTGATATGAATTAAGTTCTTAGATAGGTAACAACAGTCAAATAAAAACATTATTTGCCCAGCTGGCTGTCTTTTAATATCCACAGCAGTTCCACAAGAAATAGGGCGATTTCCATCAATTATACATATTGAACGAATATAATTTCTCCCAGCTTTCTTACCCCTTGGGCGAGATCTGAGTCGAAGAATCCCATTTAACTGCAGTATGTTCTTAACTTCAGGAGCCAAAGGAGTTGCACATCTTCTCAGACTTCTTAAAAAATGAAAATCACTTAAATGTCCAGGTTGTGCCATTGTAAGGAGAAGGGGGAAACAATTACTTGAAGATGGTTTCCTCAATAGTTTCTTATCATCCACCCAGCTGTAGAAGAGTAGGCCGCATACCAAAATCCATCCAAAATCTCCCAGAAATAAATCCATCCACATGTCCTAACTCCCAATATAATCATACAAATAAATGATCTATCCGTGCATTTCCAAACTATATTAAGTTAAAATTCTGGTGGTCTACCAGCTCTAACGGAGTTGACAATAGCCCCCCTCAGGTTTCTAAACCATTAATAGACACATAGCTCTTATACTATTGCTAGTTTAATTTGTCCACTAACAGTGACAGAATTGTTTTATGATGGCCAAAATCACAAAAAATCAGTCACTGTCTCTAGTTAGCTTATCCAATACACCTACTTTTTTTGTTGCATAATTTGACAAATAATATTTTTTTGATTTATGTCATTTTTAATTAAATAAAAAGTAACGTTTTTTTATTTTTATAATTTAATTTATTTGTAATATTTGTATTTTATAATTTAATTTAATTTTTTATTTTGTAAGGAAGCCAACCCAACTTTCTCGTTTTCTTGCCTCCATTTATGTATTTCAACAAACATTTGCTGTGGGTGAAAATTTTCTCCTAGCGCACTGGGATGCTGGAGGACGGGCTGCTGCTGCTGTTCATGCACACAAACATGGCGGAACCCATGGAGCTGCTCTGCTGGGGAGGCGACTGGGATCTGCCATCCGTGCACACAGACTCCCTCATCGTGCTGGTAACTACACGCGTTATATTAACGCTTGTATTGTATGGATATTCACAATGTAATAATTAATCAACAACGTCGATGCAGTTTTGGAGAGACGTGTCCTGGGATCCGGATAGCAGTGTTCAGAGTCACTTTGATAAATAAAAGTCTCTGTACACTATAGCATGCGCCAGTTCAGTTGTCAGCTGATGCTTCCTGTTACCGTAGCTGTCATGCAAAAAGCAGCTCGACTGAATTGAATTGCATTGCATTGGTTTGACTGGATGATAATAGTAACGTAAGCTGATATGTGTCGCACAGCTCCGGGTTTTATTTCTTGAAGGTCAGATGAATAATGCTGATAGGATCTGAAGGGTATAATGGGCTCTTTTACACGCTTTTCACTTAGATTATAGATTGTACACACGTGCTTGTGTTTTGTAAAGGAGTGTAGCTTTTTGTTTTATTTTTGCAGCTGCCTGAAAACATGCGTTCTGATAACCATTTGTAAAAATGCATAATAAAAGTCCTAGTTACAGTGTAGCGCTTTAGTGATGATTATTAATATTTACTTAACCCTTAATCAATCATCTGTTCACCTTCATATGTTTTTAATGTTCTCTTATAGGCATATGCCAAATTTTCAGGTGCAGCGCTTGCAGTAAAGTCTATTGACTGGACATGGAGGACTATAACAGGTAAGGAAGGATTGTTTTTTTTTTTTTAATAGGGTATTGGTGTAAGAGCATGTTAAATGTAGTGAAAGTCTGGGATGTAGCCACAATCATCCATGTCTTTTTCCAAATGTAACATTGTGAATGGCAAGCATTGCTGAAGTGCATGAGAGGGGTTTGTATATGGACAAGCTCTTTGATGGTTAAGCTGCAGCTGTCATGTTTCTCCCTCCACAGCATCTGTGCCACAGCTACACTTTGAGGGATCCACAGTCACAGAACCAACACAAATTCTAAACTTCCTACGAAAACAGGTAGAAATTCATATCTGTTTAGCGATGCCCTCTTTTTTGTGTAAAGTAAGTTGGGGGTATTTTGCAGTTTGTCAGTGAATATCGCAGAAGAATTCTGATGAAACCAGGACCCGAGTGGTTTATTTTGACCAGCTGACTGTATGTTATCCTACTTATTACATGACTTTACCAAAGAAATTCATACATTAACATGTCGTTACGGCGCTGTGTGTTTCGTTGTGAAAGTGAAACTACTTTGTTTTTTCCAAAAGAGGACATGACTAGAAATCAGTGGTTAAGTTGTATTTACAACACTGTTCCAGAACAGTTAAAACCAAATATTCAGATGTGTGCAGCCAATTTAACGGAGGACGAGGACTGTTTCCTGGGAGAGTAGGCTACAATGCCGGCTGTTCCTGTTAATTCAGTTCCTCTGTTTCCCCTTCGGCGCGTATGCTGACCCTATACAGTCTATGATGCTGACAAATAATGCTGACTCACAGACTGTAAGTACGTTTTCATATTTAAAGAATTTGCCACTGACGATTCAAACGTGAGTTTTGAGCAGTGTAGAGTAGCGCTTGTTGTTTGTCGTTTCTCCGATCACAAATGCAGACATGGTTTTATGTTTACGCGGCGCGGCGCGATGCAACGCAACGCGTAAAAAGACAGTATAAGTCATTATAATCCGTAATTATGTCCCCACTGGATGCAACAAATGCCTCGTTTATAATGGGTTTTATTGGTTTTGTCTCGTCGCTCCGGCGGGGACACGGCATGACAGTATGGTAGGGGCGTAACATTTCCGTCACACGTTTGAGGTATTCGGCCAATCACAACGCACTGGATAGCTGGCCAATCAGAGCACACCTTGCTTTTCAGACCGATGAGCTTTGTAAAAATCGATGCGTTTCAGAAAGGCGGGGCATACAGGAGAAACAATAATGTCCAGTATGTGGAAAATAATGTTTTTTTTTTAACCTTGAACCACATAAACATTTCATTACACCAAATACACAAAATAATGTTCTTTTTTAGCATCGTCATATGACCCCTTTAAAAATATTTAATCACGGAATTTATCTAGTTTTCAAGCAGCCCAACGTTTTTATATAAATATATTTATTGGGAATATACAGTGGGTATAGAAAAGAATCACCCCCTTTAAAATAATCACATTTTGTTGCTTTACAGCCTGAAATGAAGCTGTATATCCAGCTGTATTTACTCAGTGCAACTTATAACATCCACGAAGTATGATGCGCTTGAGAAAGGGTGATTATGCTCCCTGGATTGTATATTAAAGTGTCAATAAAACATGTGTTGCTCAATCCACACAGAGATTCAATGCCGACTATGAGTTGACGGCTAAGCAAGGTGCAGATACAATGGCTTATATCGCCCTACTGGAGGAAAAGCTGCGGCCAGCACTGGTGGGTCCATCTGCAATTCACTTACTGCTTTGAGTCATATCTGATCCTCATAATGATGATGTTATGAATTAAGTGTAGATCTGTGCTGTTAATTTGTAGCTGCACACATTCTGGGTGGACGCAGAGAACTATGCTAACCTGACCCGACCCTGGTTTACGTCACATTCCCCGTTCCCCCTCAACTTCTTTGTACCAGGTCGACAGGCCAGCTTGGCTCTGTCCCGCATCTTACTGACCAAAGCAGAGTCACCATTGCTGAACATCACAGAAGTAGAGGGAAAGGTATGAGAAAACAGATCCATATTCATGTACGATTTACGTCAGTTACTGAGACATTATGTTTCATGCATTGCATTGAATTCATCTATTCTTTTTCAATGCCATGGTGAAATGGAAATGTTTGTGGTTCTGCATTGTGAGATGGAAAACAGTTTATCTCAGGAAAATTGTTTGTCCTCATGAGCAAATCTGCCTGAGGTGGAGTGTAGAAACCAGAGGATTTTTAATTAAATATGTTACACAAATGTGCTATTGTAGTTTCGCCATCCCTCATAATAATGAATATAAAATTGTATGGTTAGTAATAGAATTTCTTTTAGATCTACAGTGAAGCCAAAGAGTGCCTGAATTTGCTCTCCCACAGACTTGGGAACTTCCACTTCTTCTTTGGAGACAGGTGAGTTTTTGAATTCTTTTATCCCGTAATATTTATCAGTTCTTTAAAGGGATAGTTATAAAAATAAAAGTCTGTCGTCATTTACTCACCTTCATGCCATTCCAAACCTGTATGACTTTCTTTCTTGCTTTTGTGGAACATGAAAGAAGATATTTTAAGAAATGTCTTTATTGTTTTTTTTTCTTGTTCCCAACATTCTTTAAAATAACTGTTTTCTGTTTTAATATATTTAAAAATGTCATTTACTCAGTGTTGCTGCTGAAGATTTAGTCTTGCAATCACAGGAATAAATTATATTTTAAAATATATTCAAATAGAAAACAGTTTCAAAGTATTACTGTTTTTGCTGTATTTTTGATACTTACTCAGTGTTGCTGCTGAAGATTTAGTCTTGCAATCACAGGAATAAATTATATTTTAAAATATATTCAAATAGAAAACAGTTTCACAGTATTACTGTTTTTGCTGTATTTTTGATAAAAAAAAATTGCAGCTTTGGTATAAAAGCATAAAATACTTCTTTCAAAAACATTGAAAAAAATCTTAAATAGTGTAAAATTGAGTTAAAGGGATAGTTCACTAAAAAAATTGAAATTCTTAAAAATTACATCATTTATCAATTATAGATGATCCAAACCTGTATGAATTTCTTTCAGCTGCTGAACACAAAATATGATATTTTGAAGCATGTTAGTAACAAAACAGTTGACGGTAGCCATTGACTTCCATAGTATGGAAAAATGATGACAGAATTTTCATTTTTTGGTGAACTATCCCTTTAAATGTAATCCTCTTAAATGTATCAGCCTGAAGTTCACCATGTTTTCTATCTGCCAGGCCTACAAGCCTGGACGCCTTTGTCTTTGGCCATATCGCCCCTCTTATTAAAGCCCCTCTTCCCAGTGGCCAGCTTCAGAAGCACCTGAACCAACTTGATAACCTCTGCCAGTTCTGCAACACCATCCTTAAAAACTACTTTACCGACGCCTCTGCTGAGAAGAGAATGGACTGTAAGTAGTAAGACCTCTGTCACAGCCTGTCTAGAACTATATTAATAAAACCACAAAAAACATAGTATTGGTCCTGTTCTGCTCTCTTTCGTCTTTTTATTACTTTATCTCAACCTGCTGTTGAATCATATAGAATTAAATCATTTAACCAGACACTCATGATTAATTACCTTTCCATTGCCTTCAACCCCAGACATTTGGCTCATAGCAAATGCTAAAAGACCGTTTAATAACAGCATGGTCTTGGGCCTCGTGGCTATTTTAAGTGATTTGCTCTGTTTCTTTGGCTGCCCTCTGAATCTGCACTAACCTTTCTCCCATGTGCGTCTAAAAACGTCTGCTTTTCTTCAGAATCAGTGTCCTGTCGTCTTTTCTCTATCTCTGCCTTCTTGCTAGGCTCTCCGACGGCTACCCATGATCCTGTCGATGCAAACCTCCAGAAACTGACTCAACTTGTTAACAAAGAGTCCAACCTTATTGAAAAGGTCTTGGCAAGATCTGCTGATTCACTTCTGAATTTAATGTCACTAGAAATTGCAGTTACATGTTTAAAAGTATGTGGACACTGTTTTTTCACAATGTATTGAAATGTATTTGTTCCTATTCAGAATTCCACAGCAGCGTCAGTGATGTCAGACACTCATATTGAGTGATGGGATCTGGCTCACAGTCAATTTCCCAATTCAGTGTTCAATGGGGTTCAGGTCTGGGCTAGTCTAGGCCAGTCAAGAAAGAGTCCAACTAGACTTAATAAACTGTTATTTACTTTGATTTTTTTCTAGGGGCATTTCATGCTGGAAAAGAAAAGTCTTGCAGCATCGTGCTGAAAATATTTAATAAAAAGTGTCTCAAATATCTCACAATTCTCACTTTTTAAAGAAGATATAAATTCAGAATTGCTCACAATTCGAAATGTTATCCCACAATTCTGAGAGAAAAGTCTCAATTGTGAGACATAAATTCAAATTGTGATATTGTGAGAGGGATAAGTTATCCCAAACTGAATTGTGATAAATGTTTCCACAAAATAAATAAATAAAAAAAGCAACTTTTTATCTCACAGTTGTGACTTCTCAGAGTTGTGACTTCTTTAGAAGAGTCAGAATTGCAAGAGAAAAAAAAAGTCAGAATTGTGAGATAAAAACTCAAAAATTAAAAAAATGATGTTACCATATTTTTAGAGTAAAGTTCTGGCAACCACAGCTACCATTTTTTATCGTAAATTTCAAGGATTTTTTTTTTACAGTGTATGCCTGGTTGTATGCTCGATTTTATGAACCTGTGCTGAAACAGACACAATGAGGGGGGGTGTCCACATGCTTTTGCCTATGTAGTGTATCTCATAAGCTCTTCATACACATTTTTTTGCAATGAACACTTGTCCTGTGGTTCTTATCGTCATGTATGTTTATGTCACAGATGGATGACAATCTTCGCAGCAGTCCGCAGCACAGACCGCACAGACATGACACCAAACCCTCGGCCCCGGCCAGCGAGAACTCAACCCGTGCCTGATGAACCCCTTCTATCTAAGCACTGACTTTAACATCATTTATTTATCTTCCATTGTAATGTAAGTTGAAATGGAAAGAATTTCCAAATCATATTTATAATTTAACATACTGATGCGGTCATAATAAATTAATACTAGTTTTTCATGATTAAGTTGCTGAAATGTTGGTTTGAGTGTTCGATTTTGTAACACAACAACATAAAGGGCTTGTTAAATGGGCATTCTTCATCTGTTGTATTTAAGAATCATTAGCACATGTGGCAACTACGTATAAAAAGGGAAATGCTTTATAGTAGCATAATAGCAACACTGAGCTGACAATTGATGACTTAAGATACAAATGCTATAGTTTAAAAGAGAAGTGCGTTCCAGTTGAGTTGCATTGTCCTTGATCAGTTTTCCTGGCGGTCTTCACACATTATTGTATATGGAACTTTGAATGCACAAGCTGGCTTTCCAAATGCAAAAGGTTTTGTGTGTATTTTATGTTTTTATTTATTTTTTCAATACTGCTCAAACACAATTACAGGTATAAGATTTAGGGTTTATAGGTATTCAGCATTTATTCATCATAGAGTTGTTTATAATAATCAAATTAGGTTTAGTTTAAAATTCTACATAAATAAACAGTTTTTATTTAAGTGCACATGGTAGATTAACTATCAATACTGCAGTAAGCATGTCCACATTGTGCATTGCAGCATACATCTCTCTTATTTGATTTGATCTTTCCATTGATTTCGCTTGATTGTGTAACTTTCCACATTCTTGACTTTTGGTGCAAAGGGATCTTGACATCTGATTTTGTGTACTGTGTATACATTTATTGTTTTTCATATTCCTCTGGAGGTTTTATACATGCAAGGAATGCCTTAAAAGTCCAGTGCTGTGCCATGCCATCACACCTGACTGTATTTTTGATTTAATCGGTCATTCATTGTGTTTCAAGAAATTGTATATTTCAAAATATATGTACATATATGCAATAAAGTGAAGTTCTTTGAAATAGACTTTTCTCAGAAAAATGGGGAACTTATTATATAACTTATTATATTGGTACATTTAGTTGTTTACACCAAATGCAAAACCCACTACATTTTTTATTTATATAGTGGAAAGTACTGTAGCTAAATTGTGACAGACCTTAAAGGAACACTCCACTATTTTTGAAAATAGGCTCATTTTCCAACTCCCCCAAAGTATTACTGTTTTTGCTGTATCTTTGATAGAAAAAATTGCAGCTTTGGTATAAAAGCATAAAATACTTCTTTCAAAAACATTGAAAAAAATCTTAAATAGTGTAAAATTGAGTTAAAGGGATAGTTCACTAAAAAAATTGAAATTCTTAAAAATTACATCATTTATCAATTATAGATGATCCAAACCTGTATGAATTTCTTTCAGCTGCTGAACACAAAATATGATATTTTGAAGCATGTTAGTAACAAAACAGTTGACGGTAGCCATTGACTTCCATAGTATGGAAAAATGATGACAGAATTTTCATTTTTTGGTGAACTATCCCTTTAAATGTAATCCTCTTAAATGTATCAGCCTGAAGTTCACCATGTTTTCTATCTGCCAGGCCTACAAGCCTGGACGCCTTTGTTTTTGGCCATATCGCCCCTCTTATTAAAGCCCCTCTTCCCAGTGGCCAGCTTCAGAAGCACCTGAACCAACTTGATAACCTCTGCCAGTTCTGCAACACCATCCTTAAAAACTACTTTACCGACGCCTCTGCTGAGAAGAGAATGGACTGTAAGTAGTAAGACCTCTGTCACAGCCTGTCTAGAACTATATTAATAAAACCACAAAAAACATAGTATTGGTCCTGTTCTGCTCTCTTTCGTCTTTTTATTACTTTATCTCAACCTGCTGTTGAATCATATAGAATTAAATCATTTAACCAGACACTCATGATTAATTACCTTTCCATTGCCTTCAACCCCAGACATTTGGCTCATAGCAAATGCTAAAAGACCGTTTAATAACAGCATGGTCTTGGGCCTCGTGGCTATTTTAAGTGATTTGCTCTGTTTCTTTGGCTGCCCTCTGAATCTGCACTAACCTTTCTCCCACGTGCGTCTAAAAACGTCTGCTTTTCTTCAGAATCAGTGTCCTGTCGTCTTTTCTCTATCTCTGCCTTCTTGCTAGGCTCTCCGACGGCTACCCATGATCCTGTCGATGCAAACCTCCAGAAACTGACACAACTTGTTAACAAAGAGTCCAACCTTATTGAAAAGGTCTTGGCAAGATCTGCTGATTCACTTCTGAATTTAATGTCACTAGAAATTGCAGTTACATGTTTAAAAGTATGTGGACACTGTTTTTTCACAATGTATTGAAATGTATTTGTTCCTATTCAGAATTCCACAGCAGCGTCAGTGATGTCAGACACTCATATTGAGTGATGGGATCTGGCTCACAGTCAATTTCCCAATTCAGTGTTCAATGGGGTTCAGGTCTGGGCTAGTCTAGGCCAGTCAAGAAAGAGTCCAACTAGACTTAATAAACTGTTTATTTACTTTGATTTTTTTCTAGGGGCATTTCATGCTGGAAAAGAAAAGTCTTGCAGCATCGTGCTGAAAATATTTAATAAAAAGTGTCTCAAATATCTCACAATTCTCACTTTTTAAAGAAGATATAAATTCAGAATTGCTCACAATTCGAAATGTTATCCCACAATTCTGAGAGAAAAGTCTCAATTGTGAGACATAAATTCAAATTGTGATATTGTGAGAGGGATAAGTTATCCCAAACTGAATTGTGATAAATGTTTCCACAAAATAAATAAATAAAAAAAGCAACTTTTTATCTCACAGTTGTGACTTCTCAGAGTTGTGACTTCTTTAGAAGAGTCAGAATTGCAAGAGAAAAAAAAAGTCAGAATTGTGAGATAAAAACTCAAAAATTAAAAAAATGATGTTACCATATTTTTAGAGTAAAGTTCTGGCAACCACAGCTACCATTTTTTATCGTAAATTTCAAGGATTTTTTTTTTACAGTGTATGCCTGGTTGTATGCTCGATTTTATGAACCTGTGCTGAAACAGACACAATGAGGGGGGGTGTCCACATGCTTTTGCCTATGTAGTGTATCTCATAAGCTCTTCATACACATTTTTTTGCAATGAACACTTGTCCTGTGGTTCTTATCGTCATGTATGTTTATGTCACAGATGGATGACAATCTTCGCAGCAGTCCGCAGCACAGACCGCACAGACATGACACCAAACCCTCGGCCCCGGCCAGCGAGAACTCAACCCGTGCCTGATGAACCCCTTCTATCTAAGCACTGACTTTAACATCATTTATTTATCTTCCATTGTAATGTAAGTTGAAATGGAAAGAATTTCCAAATCATATTTATAATTTAACATACTGATGCGGTCATAATAAATTAATACTAGTTTTTCATGATTAAGTTGCTGAAATGTTGGTTTGAGTGTTCGATTTTGTAACACAACAACATAAAGGGCTTGTTAAATGGGCATTCTTCATCTGTTGTATTTAAGAATCATTAGCACATGTGGCAACTACGTATAAAAAGGGAAATGCTTTATAGTAGCATAATAGCAACACTGAGCTGACAATTGATGACTTAAGATACAAATGCTATAGTTTAAAAGAGAAGTGCGTTCCAGTTGAGTTGCATTGTCCTTGATCAGTTTTCCTGGCGGTCTTCACACATTATTGTATATGGAACTTTGAATGCACAAGCTGGCTTTCCAAATGCAAAAGGTTTTGTGTGTATTTTATGTTTTTATTTATTTTTTCAATACTGCTCAAACACAATTACAGGTATAAGATTTAGGGTTTATAGGTATTCAGCATTTATTCATCATAGAGTTGTTTATAATAATCAAATTAGGTTTAGTTTAAAATTCTACATAAATAAACAGTTTTTATTTAAGTGCACATGGTAGATTAACTATCAATACTGCAGTAAGCATGTCCACATTGTGCATTGCAGCATACATCTCTCTTATTTGATTTGATCTTTCCATTGATTTCGCTTGATTGTGTAACTTTCCACATTCTTGACTTTTGGTGCAAAGGGATCTTGACATCTGATTTTGTGTACTGTGTATACATTTATTGTTTTTCATATTCCTCTGGAGGTTTTATACATGCAAGGAATGCCTTAAAAGTCCAGTGCTGTGCCATGCCATCACACCTGACTGTATTTTTGATTTAATCGGTCATTCATTGTGTTTCAAGAAATTGTATATTTCAAAATATATGTACATATATGCAATAAAGTGAAGTTCTTTGAAATAGACTTTTCTCAGAAAAATGGGGAACTTATTATATAACTTATTATATTGGTACATTTAGTTGTTTACACCAAATGCAAAACCCACTACATTTTTTATTTATATAGTGGAAAGTACTGTAGCTAAATTGTGACAGACCTTAAAGGAACACTCCTCAACTGTTTAACTCTAGGGGAGTTGGAAAAGGAGCCTATTTTCAAAAATAGTGGAGTGTTCCTTTAAGAACTTATTTATGCTCTTTGAATGAACAATACTAACACATTGCAAAACTTTCCGTTCATTCATCCTTTAAATGTGGCAGTAATAGAGAGACAGCTGTAGGGCTGTCACATGGAAGCTATTACAACTCACCACTCCCCAAATATTCACATTCCCTCAACAAAATGGAAAGGACAGGAGATTTTTCCCCCTTTGTTTTGCTGGCTTTTTGGTCTTTACCACCATCTATGATGAATTAAGATTTTACGGCTGGAAAGAAGAGGGCTTAATAACAAAAAAAATTATATATCTAATCAAATATTTGGGGTCAGAAAGATTTTTTAACAATGAATTTATTATTTTTATTTAAACATTGTTACGAATAAACTTTATTATTAATCAAAGACTCCTAAAAATGTATTATGGTTTCTACAAAAATTAGCAGCACAACATGTTTTCAACATTAGTGATAATGGATAAAATAAAAAAAAATCGAGCACCAAATCATATTAGCATGATTTCTGAAGGATCATGTGACACTGAAGACTGGATTAATGGCTGCTGAAAATTCAGCTTTGCCATCATAGGAATAAATCACATTTTAAAAATATATTAAAATAGAAAACTGTTATTTAAAAAAATATATTTGAAATAATAATCAAATAATATTCAGCAAATCAGTAAATATAGCTTCATTATTATTTCATATGATTTTTTATCAGATAAATCCAGCATTGGTGAGCCTAAACATTAAAAATCTCACTGACCCCAAACTTCTTAACATTTTAATTCATCTATAAGCTTAATTCTTTGTTCATTAAAACATCTCTGATGGAAAAACATTTTCAAACATCTAAGTGACACTAAAAATACTCAGAAGCTTTGTTAACATTTTAATTCAGTCCAGTCGTTTTCAGAAATACAAATAAATATACAAGCAGACTCATTTATACCACTACTAAATGATTAGACAACAGAACATTTTAAAAGAATAATTTTACAAAACAGACAACAACTTGAAAATGAAGTGCTATCCCTGCACTGTGTCCATTAGACTATAAATCGAATTAAAATGTGTTTTCTCTTATGCAAGTGATTGTAACTGATTTTGACTGTCATACAGTGAAGCTTTCAGAGCAGAAAAGAACGAAAATACGCACACGATACTGCGATGATCCATTGGAAGTGAAAACTAAAATCTCTTTACTCATTTCCCTTTGCTTAGTTTGTGATTAAGCGAGATCCTGACCAGCAACGATTTAAAATGTAAACTGGAGTGAAATGACCTTTTCCTACCAAATCTTTTAAATACAGTAAACCACAGAAAAATAAATATTTTCATCACTCATTTGTGATGCCTTGCCCATCATCTCAAAACACGTGTCCTCCACTGAGGGAGAATTCAGCAATGAAAGCATGTTATTAGCAGTGCCAACATCTATTCATTTTATTCAAACAACCTGGAAGCCTGTAGCCTCCAAAATAAATACACTGACACTGAATATGAATGTCTGCACATCATGTGATCATATACTGTATGAGAAGCAACAAAACTGGTTGCATGCACTTTCTGTGTCATATATACAAAAACAACGCAACAGCTCCAAAAAAAACTAGTTTCTGGAGGGATTTAAAAGCACAGCTTCAAAAACAATCCTTCCTTTCACAAAACTCAATTAGGATGACCATATGTCCTTTTTCCTGGACATGTCCTGCGGCTGGGATTTCTAAATTGCCTAAAATGTCTGGGTTTTGGCTTTGATTTCCTTTGGACATGCTCTCTACGGTCTTCATAAATTACATGTATGCGTATTTGTATTGCTTTGACCATTCTCTGTAGATCCCACCTTCACGCATGCCACGATTGGTTGATTAAGTACAATGCCTGCACGCTACTGGTCATTACCTTCAGCAAGTATGAAAACAATAGGAAAACAAAGCCCAAACCAACACATTTTGGGTAATTTAGAAATCCTGGCCAGGACACGTCTCTGAAAAAGAGGATGTACAGTCACTCTGACTAAATATTTCTCATTATGGTCACCCAAACTAAATGTTCCTCATAATCTCTTCAGTCACACCATTTCTTAGAACTGAGCAATTCTTCAGTTCTTCAGCACAATATTGTTTCATTTTATTACTATTAAGAAAGAAGCACTTGATTCATATCCTGTGGCACAAGCAAGCCCAGAGCTTCGAGGCTTCAGTTGTGTAAACTAGCAGTGCTTAACAAACTCCGGCACCTCCATGGTCATGTTTAGTTCTAGATTCCCCGGCTGCTCCAGGACAAACACAGGGTGGCAGGGCTGAGTGAAGGTGTGCCGAAAAGTGCCCAAGAGCTGCCCGTTCTGAGCATTAAAGAAGAAGAGCCGACCCTGGCTGTAGTCCAACAGAGTGCCGACCCGCGCAGGTATGTCCATGACAAAGATGTCAGACTCCACGCTGTCATGAAGCAGCTCAAATCTGCAGCTGGAGAGACGAAGGGTTATGCGACACAATAAATATATCAAATAATATAAATACAATATATATTATAAAATACAACATAATAAATATGTCAAATTATATATTTATCAGTAAGGAAATTGATGAAGAATGAAAGAATCCTGAAAAAGATTTTGCTTTCCACAAAAATATTAAGCAGCACAAATGTTTTCAACATTAAAAAATGTTGTTGAAAATACAGCTTTGCCATCACAGGAATAAATTACATTTATAAAATAGAGAAAACAGTTATTTTAATTTGTAATAATATTTCACAATTCACAATATTACTGTTTTTACTGTATTTTTGTACAAATAAATGCAGTCTTGAGAGACTTTCAAAAATCTTAAATTCAAAAATCTTACCAACCCCAAACTTTTGAACAGTAGTATATATGCAATGTTATATAAACACATTGATTCCATTGTAGAAATACCCTGTTCTGAGGAGTTTTTGTCACCCATGACTGATTAATTACAGAACCAAAATAGTTTGTGATCTCACTATTTATATGGAATAAAACAGCCTTTTCTAGGTCACTGATATGGCTGCAGTCTTCACATCATATGTACATCACTTTTGTAGGTGTAAACCTTTGGGGAAAATGACTTATTGTACCTTTAAAAGCAATTAGAGCACAACCCAAGACTATGTGTTCTCAATAAAACCAAATTCCGATTTAAACAACTTGGTTTCATTGAAAAGCATCTATAGTATCATCTTTGTGCTCACATTTTCTGCAGATGCACTCATAAAATTGTTCTTTCCGTTGGCTAGGGCTTGACAGGACTCTAGTTGCTGATTTGCAAACTCTAACATCATAGACAATGTACACAGTACCTTTCACAGTTGTAGACCGGGGATTTTTCGAAGTACAAAAGACTATTTTTAAAGGTTTTATGGAAGGCCGAGAGAACTTTTTTAATGAGAGAACAGATTTAATGAGAGAACACATTTTTTTAAGATTTATACCAAAGGGGCATTTTGATTCTTTTTGAAGGCACCAGTTAATTTACCTTCCTGATTGCCAAAGAGCCTTAATTACACAGTGTTTCCACAGTTTGGAATGGAGCTACGAAATGTCCTACCAGGCTGTTTATTTAAACTGAAATGAGCAGATATTAAATAAACACACTTTTCTAGCTGGACAGAGTTTGGTAAAAAATTCCATGACTTTTACATCTAATGGATAGGCTATCCTCTTTAGGATAATGAAACGCATGCACAAATACATGAATGGGATACCTTATAGATGTAGGCATTTGCTGTAACTCAAGACACTTGTGCTTTTGTGCATCACTGAAAACAGCATATGTCATGAATTTTGAAGTTGCAAATTAAACAGGACATATAATTTGTTGTGTTTTCAGTGTTAGTTTTGTAATAGTTAAAACAATTGTTTGAGGTACTTACTCTATGATAGAGGACATTTTATTGTAGCTGTCATGTGGGTACTCTACTGAGTTCCTGTCCTCTGAAACCTTCAGCAGTGAGTTGGCCTTTTCACTGAGGAAGTGGAACCTTGTACCTTATCATACAACAGCATTCACCAATCACCAATTAACAAACAGAATTAACATTTTATCATATTATAAGTGAGAATTTAGTAATGCTATCAAAAATGGGCATGTTTTAAATCACTAACTAAAGGTATGGTCACATTAAAGAAATTCTGGAAAAAAAATCCCATTCGCATGAAACTTTGCCAAACAACAGATAAGCGTGACTGCACTTTAATAGGAATAATATCGTATGAGAATTTTAGATTGATGTTATAATAGCGGTGAATCTGACCTCTGGTGGAGATAAGGGCAGACACCAGGAAGCACTGTTCTCCCCCAGTGTGCTGGTTTGTGATACAGTTTGATATGCAATGCCGATGCGGTAGGCTTTGCATTTTGACACATGCGTCTCCCAGTAGTAATATCCAAGAGAAGGTAAAAGCTCACCCATAACAGCTGGACATCTAAGAACAAGTAAAAAAAATGTTATATATATATATATATATATATATATATGTGGGTACTCTACTGAGTTCCTGTCCTCTGAAACCTGCAGCACTGAGTTGGCCGTTTCGCTGAGGAAGTGTAACCTTGTACCTTAACATACAACAACCAATTACCAAAAAACAGAATGAACATCATTTGAAAAGTGAGAATTTAGTGATGCTGTCAAATATTGCCATGCTTCTCTTGTTACGACTGGATTTTGTCCATGGAACTTTGTAAACAACAGGTAAATGTAA